GATGTCGTGGGCATATTTGGGCTGCCGTTACAGCACCAAAGAAGCCAACACCATCCAATGTTGATGAGAAGAAGCTCTCCTGGGAAGATCGCCTCGCCTTCGTGGACGGAAACACAAGTGAACTCAGTTCAATCTTCGAAAATGGTGTTTGGGAGGTGGAACTACATCCACACAATGTTGCTCCAGACCGCATTCTTCGAGCAAGATGGGTTCTCGCTTGGCGCACTGGAGCAGGATGTGAGCAAAGAGCAAAGGCACGTCTCGTTCTCCAAAGGCTCAACGACCCAGATCTTCTAGAAGGCAAACTGGAGACCAGCAGTCCCACTTTGTGCAGAACAGCTCGACAAACCCTGTTGGCCATCGCATGCAATGAAGATTGGGAAACGTGGGTGAGTGACGTGGCAACAGCGTTCCTCCAAGGCGATCCACAATCCCGCCAATTGTGGGCAAAGCTTCCTCAGGATGCCTGCAAAATGCTGAATTTGGAAAGTGGAGCGTTGATGAAATTGAAAAAGCCGCTGTACGGTCAAGCTGACGCACCACGTGAATAGTACAAAGTTGCAACCAGAAAGTTCCAACAGTTGGGATTTGCGCCTCATCCTCTAGAATGCTGCCTCTTCCGATTGTTTGATACGAATGATCGTTTGGTATGTTTGATTGGCCTCCACGTTGACGATATGCTGGGCGCTGAAGATCCAAGCTCACCGATGTACCAAAAGGTCAACTGTGATCTTTGCAAGACCTTCGACTTCAAGCACTGGAGCGAAGAGGCAGAGGACAAGCAACTTGAGTTTTGTGGCTGCAAACTAAAGAAGACTGGTGAACAAACATGGCAATTGCACCAAGAGGACTACATCCCTGGAGTGAAGCCCCTGACAACTACACCAAAGAGAGATCACGATCCGTTGTCTCCAAAAGAAGTGTCAGCACTCCGTGGATTGTTGGGAGCACTTCAATGGCCATCAACACAGTCAATGCCACACTTGAGCGCCTCAATCTCCCTACTTTGTGGTAGCATCAATGGTGCAACAGAGTCCATAGCAAAAGCAGCAAACAAAGCACTCAAGTTCGCAAAGCACAACAAGCACGCCTCACTACAGTTCACAAGATTGGATGATTTGAATGAACTATGTTTGACAGCTGTCAGTGATGCTGCATGGGGTGTCCGCCCCGATCACTTGAGCCAAGGAGGATACTTCATCCTACTGTCCCACAAGCACGTGCTGCACAAGAGTGGCGCTTTCAAGTATGTCATCCTTGATTGGAGATCGTACAAGTTGCCCCGAATCAGCAGAAGCAGTTTGAACTCCGAGTCTCAAGCTTGCAGTGCCGCCATGGACTCCCTCGAGTACATTCAGTTGTTCTGGAAGGGATGCGTCAACAGCTCATTTACCACCTCAAATGTGGATGAGAAAACTGGTCGGCTACCATGTGCCCGTGTGGTCGACGCCAAAGCCCTATATGACTGCCTCAAAAGTGAAGCGCCACAGTTGACTGGGGACAAACGCACCCAGATCGAGGCCCTGGTGATCAAGGAGAAGATGACCACAACAGGATGTCTCCTGAAGTGGATGTCCAGTGAGTTTCAACTGGCTCACGGCCTTACAAAAGTGGCTTCAATGCAGCTCATGGCAGACCGCAAGCGAACACACATGTTCACCCTCCAGTCCGATCAGAACTTCACCGCGGCCAAGTAGAAAAGTCCAAAAGAACGACATGACAATGCACGTCGCAATGCATTGACCAAAGCTGAAGCCCGAAGAGGATTGGCAATGATGATCGCTTTGGGATCATCAAGTGTAGCACAAGCAGCAGGTGAAACAAATGAGACAAACGAGACCTACAACATCTATGTTTTCATGCTGTTTACTGCACTGGCCATTTTCGGTGCCTCTCAAGCTTTCATGAACATGCTCAAGGCCCTTGTGAATGTCATCGGCCAGAGGTGGAGACCACAGAGAACCCCGCCCAAACAACAGAGCAGTTCCAAAAGCTGGTGTCAACACGACTCCGTGAAGAGAACATGAAATTGAAAAGTGAGGTGAAAGATCACATCGCAGCGAATGCCCTCTTTCAGCACAGGATCAACTACCTGGAAGCTGAAGTCCAAACACAAGATGATCGATTAGAAGAATATGAAGTTGGTTTGAGAGACGCCACAAGATTCACGAATTGCTCGAGCAGAGCAGCAGCGCAAGGTGCAAGCCCTTCAGAGCTTGCAAGGCCACCACCATGTCCTACAACAAGAGCACCACAGGATCCAGAATTGCCGGGAGACCGTGATCCCAAGGGAGATTTTCCTTTCGGCACATGGATCGAAGTCCCATGTAGATCCACAGTGCCCGACACTGCACAACGCTGCAGCTCGAACGACGATGGAGTGTTGTAAAACCTGCGAGAAGCAGGTGGCAAAGGACCGTTGGTAGAAACTTGACCTTCGGTCAAACCTTTTCCTTCTTTTAGCAGTGTGAATTCGCTTCATGTTTGCACCCCGCTCGCCGTTGTTCAAGCACTCTTGGGCCACCTGAGGTGGTTACTCGTTCATGCTCTCAAGAGAAAAGGGCCCGCACACGTTCACACGGAAACTTAGAGCGTTCCGCATCGACGGTGAACTTGGTTTTCCTTCCTTTCTTGTTCTCCGTGTCTTCACATGCTCTCTTTCTGCTCTCTTTCCAGGACAAGTTCGTGCGTGAACTCTTGCAGTGCTCTCATGTCGTCCATTTCATCGTCGTGGCGCTTGGCCACATCTGTGAATTTGTCAATTTGTAGTGACATTGTTTCTTGCTGATTTCGAAGTTGATCAGAAGAGCTGGCTCCTGTTGACTGAAGTTGCTCAAGGCCTTGCTTCATTTGTAGGCTCATTTGCTTCATCTGCTGAAGGAGCTCAGGCGCTTCTTGTGCAACGTTGTGTTTTGATTTGCGCTCTGCTGGTCTATGTTGTTCATCTGGTCCTTTTGTCACTCGTTGTGGTGTAGCTGCAATTTCATATAGTGCCTTCGAGGTAGATGAGTTTCTTGTCCCCCAAGTTCTTCTTGTGGTGATAGCCTGTTTTTCTGCAAGTTCTGTCTTCTTGCTTGCTTCTGTATCACCGTCTGCTTGTTCGAAGGCTATAGTTTTTCTTTGTGGTGTCTGTGCTTCTGTTTCCTCTTTTCTTTCTTTCCCCTGCTCTTTGTCTCTGCCTTTTCTCTGAATTTTTTTCTTCCTTCTCCTTTAAATGCTGTTTTCTTACTGCCATGGCTGACTGGCTGTTGCCTGCATGACATTCAACACTCCGTGCGCAATCTTAGCCAGTTCATGGCAAACCCAACCAAAAAAGCTGAAGCTGAGCTCAAGCATTTGGTTCTTTACCTCCAGGGCACTGAGCACTACGGCCTGCTTCTCCCCTACACAAAGTACAAAAGCAAGAAGGCTGAGATCCTAAGGAGTCAAGATGACATTGATGCTTTAGAGCCTTGGTCCGATAGCAGGTGATGGAAGCTCGAAACAGAGAACACGCCACAGCGTTAGCAGCACAATGATCTTTCTGAATGGGTGTTTGATTGCTGAATGGTCAAGATCCCATAAATCCACTGCCCTACCCTCCTGTGAAGAAAGCTTTCTTGCATCAGCTGGACGAGCGGCAGAAGCACTACAGTTGAGAGAGCTTTGGCAGTTTCTCAGCAAGCGACAGAGGCCTTGATCAAGAGAGATTGGGCGTGGGTCGCCTGAAGCACATCGACACACGCTATCTGTGGATGCAACTTACTGTGACGAAGAAAAAGGGTTTGAAGATGGAAGGCGTTCCAACGTTGTGAAATGTGGCGGCCCTTGGTACGAAGAGGCTCTCGAAGACTCTGATCAGGTGTTCTGCCATGTTGGTGAGGAAGCCTACCATGAAGAACTTCAAAAGAAGGACTTGGCGAAGAAGATGAAGGAGGTGAAGAATGAAATGGTTCGGTCCATCGTGGAAGAGAACAATTAGACGAAGGTGAAGATCTAAAAGTCCATGGTGAAAACGGTGGCACTACTCCTGCTACAGCCTCGGGTATACGGAATACATGAAAATGGAAGCCAAGAGAGCTACAACCCTGAGGAATTCGATAACCAGAAGGTTGGTGGCTATGGATGGAGCTACTACATCTTGGCGTTCCTCCTGCACACGGTCATGGAGTTCGGCTTTGGAATGTACATTGGCTACATGAAATGGGGGAATGTTTTCTGGTGGCACAAAAACTGATGTCATACATTCAGACTGATTGGTTTGCGGACTTTCATCAAGACAGCCACCAGAAGCCCTTGACTGCAACAAGTTGGAGCACTGCATCCGGTACTTGCGGGGAGATGAAGAACAAAGGGCCCGGCGATTGTTGGTATCCCTTCATCAAAGTTGACCATGCCTTAGGATGGGGTGCTGAGTACAAGCAAGGACTTGCCGCCTTCTGTGTGGCGGTCATGTCCGCACACTGGGAAGCAGACTGGTGGCGACATGTGAACCAGTTTGCAAGGACCGGCCACGTCTGAAAAAAACCGACACGCTGCTTGGTCTTTTGGTGGGGTGTCAGGCATTTGACGACACATCACCATGCGCAGTTTGACACCGGCCAAAGTGGCCCAAGCACTCCTGAGAAAAAGGGGTCGCCGCGTTTTTGCTACCTTTGACAACCTTTGGCATCCGAGCTGGCATGTCCAGCATCTATTCTGGCCATGTATTGAAAAATTTTTGCCGGCATTCTCCATGGCCACTTTCCTGGCATTGTATCCGGCGTCCATTCCTCACGTTCATCCTAGTAGCACTTTTTCTGGCATCTCTTTTGTCATCCTTCCTGGCGGCCTGTCTGGCGTTCACGACGTTCTCTCTGGAGTGGTGTTGTTTCAGGCCCTTGATAGTGTTTTTTTGGTTCAGTTCTCCACCGTGAACAGGACCGCCGAACTTGCGCGGACCTGCTATATAATGAGGAGGAGGGGGAGGGCGGAATTTGTATAAAATCTAGAGACCTCGGTGGGGAACAAATGCATATTGCCTTCGCTGCCCTGGACGCCATGGCAAGATCGGAATTGTTAAGCTGGATGTGTTGCTGGTGTGAGCCTAATTGTGCATTGGGCCCCGTTCGGGCCAGCTGCCGCAACGCTCTTTGGTTAAAGTTTAGGGCTGGGATTTGCACGCAACATCACTGCAAATTTTGTCCTTTCACATGTGCTGTGGACAATCTTAGTGGTAGTTTCAACAAATATCCAAACAAATCCTGTCTGCAGCCCGGGCTGCGCCCTTTCTTCCTCCACCCATGAGTGAGCCAAATGCTGAAACCATGGCCACATGCAACGAGGCACTTAGCACAAGCAACTAGAATTTTCCTCAAGAAATCGAAGTAGTTTCGAACGCTCTCCCAAAAACCAGGCACGACGGCAACACGATGCGATACTAAAAAATGGCCACCCCAAACAACAACGCTTTGGCCACGGGCGCTGCAAGACTTTAAACGTCTGCCGCTTGTATTCCGGGGTCTTGTCTATGGCATAGGGGTCAAAACTTATCTCGCACAACACACGCACTTCACATGCGGCGTGTCTTGGTCAACTGCCAGTTCTTCATTCGGGGTTACGACTTTCACCCACCAAAAGCTCAAGCTGCAGATGCTGAGGCATCATAGACTGATAGTATGGTGAAAGGACGTGCCCCAATTTGTTTTTTTGTCGCCATTCCGTCCTTGCCAATGCTGGCCCGCTGCTGAGAACTGGAAGGCCCACAAGGCAGCGCGTAATTTCTGCGTGCCAATTGCAATCGGAAGTGGAACGGCGCCGCGGTGATTTTGATGTCTCTACACATATCGTGCTCCCAGCCGCAAGCCTAAGCAACGCCGTCTTTGGCTAAAGAACCTGCTGGTTTTCAACGCGCTCTCTTCCACAGCTACGCCTGTGTGAACAGAAAAGAACACTCCCTTTCCAAAAAAAGGCCAGCGGTGATTTGCCAACACTGGAGGCCTCCCGGCAAGATGTCCCGCCCGGCTCTGGTTCGAAAAGGGGCGGCCGATTGACCTACGCTGCAAAAAGCCACGTGCTGCACCGCTGCCGTGCCGACCTGAGATGGAGGGTCCCAACACTTCTTGGAGGCCACGTCCCTCTTCCTTTTTTGTGGTCGCTATTGATTTGACACACATGTGAAGTGGACCTTTGCCTAGGCAAGGGCGCACGTGTGGGGACAAAACGGTTTTGATACAGTACGCAGGGCGCTGTTGTGAACACGACACTTGTTTTCGTGAGTGGGACGTTTTCACTCGGTGGTTGGTGTGAGTGGAAGCGGTCCCTGAGCAAAACGTTGCACAAACGGCGGAATCAGGGAAACAGGGCACCCCCTGGTTTCCATGCAGCTAAAGTGTCTGCTCCACACAGCCCCCGAAAGCCCTATATTTCACTGACTGTTCATCAAAAATATGGTCTGTTTTGGAAGAAGTTTTGCCTGAAGTGGTGTTGTTGTAGTGGTACCCACCAGCTCGGCCAATTCTTGCGCAAGTGCTTTGTGAGAGCCCGAAATTGTATTGCGAACATGGGGCCGCAATGCAACCTTGGGTTCCTTGCAGAATTCATGCATTTGCTGGGGTCTGCAGTTGGGAAGAAAAAAATCCTGTCAAACAATATGGCCAGCCAGGGTTTCAGCATTCACAATACAACTCCGTCCATCAACAGCGACCTTTCGAAACAAATGTCCTGAGGCCAAAAAATCCCAACTCGGAACCCTAAGGCATGTGGATCAGCCGCCAATTGTTGTTTCGCTCGCTCCTGGTGTGCGAAAACGGCATGATGGCGGACAGTACACCATCTTCAGTATGGATGGTTCCGCCCGGGACTTGTTAATAGAGTCCTGAGTCCTGGAATAAATTTGCACATGGCACTGAAGGGCTGAATCTGAGGGTGAGGGCCAGTTATTCTGCTGTTTTTTTGCCGTCACCATCCAAAGAAACAACGCGCCATCTTCTAAGCCAGCAAATCCTCTGTTTTTTTTTTTCGGTGGGAGGCAGCCTCCAGGCACGTGCAACTACATGCACCAGTACACAGCATGGAGTAGAATGAGAACAAAAAAATTGTCAGAAGAAAATGGACGGTTTCATGTGCGCTCAACAAAGTGAGCTATCTATTCTACCAGGGTGGTTTCTTGAATCTGACCATCTGGGCCAGACTTAAGCACAAAACATCAAACATAAAAAATCGGGTTGCCAATAGTGCATGGCGCAAGTGGGCCAAAAAGGCGCAAGTTCAACGCCAAACATTTTCAAAAGGAAGTTTGCCTTGGTCTTCTTGCAGGTTCCAAAGCAAAATCCAGTGTGTCAATGACCATGTGCCCACGCGCGCTGGTGTTGCCAAAGCGCACAGGATGCCAATGAACAACCAAAGAGTACTGATACCCCAACTTGGTTGGGAGGCCACCTTCATGTACACTTCTGGCGGTTGTGTGCCACGGCGAGGATGGAGGCGCAGGCAGCCCAAAATCAAACCCCCACATCACCCAAGCCAAACATACATTGATGAAGTCATTTTGATGTGAGAAACATGTGTGCATCCAAAGTAACGTTGTTTGCAACGACCTGACAGTGGAGCGGTGGCGCCTCAAAGCCTGAAACCCACTGCAGCTGTTGAACAAATGCATGACTTCAAAACAGTTGGACCGCCAACAGGCCTCGCAAACAGAGGAAACACACTATATCAAAATTCAACTGTCTTTGCACGGCGCATCGCGCGCCAAACTGCTGACGAGCTTGGCGGCAAAACCAGCACGAAATCCTTGCCAGCATCAACAGTGCCTGTGATTCCATGTCGGGCAAATAGATCCAAGGACCATGTGTTGCTGTGTTGTCCTGGTGGCACATTGGTCACCTACGAACAACCATCACCAATGTCTGGCCGCCCGTCGTGTGGAAATTTTTGCCGAATCTGTTGTTGGCTTGCTGGTCATGATCCATCTGCTTCAGTTGCTTGTTTCAACGTTGAACGCTTTGGCAATCACAAATGTAATTTCCCGACATTCGACTGCAGATTCAACAAGTCCAAATTGTTTTTCCCCACCCGACAAGTGACGTGGAATCTGAGATGGACCGTTGAAAACATTTTCCTCTGCAGTAATTTTGAGGTTTTATGTCAATTTGCAAGGGAGTACGCAGTGTCTGGCCGCAAGCAGGCAAGTGGCTGACATTATGGAACAAAAACAAACACACAGTCTGCACGGAGTCACAACGGTGGAAGGCAAAGATTGAATTTGGTGAGTGTCTGGACTTTGAAGTTCATGGCCATGTGCCTGAGCATTGTTTGTGAAAACACGGACGCGCAAGCTTCCCTTTTGATCCCGCTCACTTGAGCCAAAGTCACAGTCGGTTCAGACTGTCTTCAAGCTTACTAGAAGCTTCTTCATCTCTTTTCAGAAGAGGCTCGACTGTCCACGGTCTTCCAAAACAGGTCTCAGCTACATCAAACTATACACAGCTCTAACAGGCGCTTCTCTAAAGGTGCTCCTAGCCACTTCTAGTCACATTCCACCTTCTCCTGCTAAGGAGGTCAAAGGGAAAACATCGAGAGGACAAAGACCCCTATTCAGCTCCAACCCCAAGTATTAGAAAACGAAAATTCCAGCTAGAAACAGGTACTAGGTGATCCAACACACCCTGTACAAACGGGCCTGCCCGACGCCTGGGCGAGCTGAGCTTTCGAGGCTTTGCCTTGAGGAATTGCCTAAAGAGGTGGTGAGGGAAGTGCACACTTTTTTTTTCCACGAGTACGGACGCCGTGTGGGCATGGTGCCCAGGTCATCATTGAAGGAAGGGAAGTACAATCAGATGGTGGAGAAAAGGACAAAGAAAACCCAAAAACAAACCAAACCAACCAAACAACCGCAAACCAGAGCCCACAGGCCGAGTCTCCACCATCTTGTAGTCTTTCCTCTGTGCTAAGGTGAAACAGGTGAAACGAAAACTACTGACTATCAATGGGCCTGAATTCTCGAACGAAGAGCATGGCAGCGCGGGTTTGTGCTCTAGAGAGTTTCCAAAAAGTCTTCAAATTGACTTCACTTCTCAATTACCAGTGACCAGCGGCCACTGCACGGTGTGGCAAAAACCTGGTCACAATGCAGGTCTGGAGCAAGCTCCTACGTCGGTTGTATCCCTGTCAAAATGGATCATGTTGCTATGCTTCACGCCGTGGAAAATACCTTTCTTGTGGCACAACCCGTTCAACTGATTGCACTTACAAGTCCAGAGGCATATTAGTTGGTGATGTAGCAAGTGGCGGTCATAGCAAACGACGAAAGCCTGCAGATAAGGGTGCGAAAGGCATACCCCCCCGAAGGGAGGTCATCTCAGCACCCTTCGGCACCCGGAGGTTCCAAAACGGGGTGTCCCCTAACTCCATGAAATGCTGCGTCATTGCAAAAAGTGGTCTGTTGCGTGCAGGGCCCGTGTGAAACAGGTGAAACGTTGGACCTATCCTAACATGGTATCTGTACCCCTTTGTACAAAATTGGAAATGTCGGACGTCGACAGAGGGAACTAAGGTTCCCCCTGGGCATCCGCCATTGCCACACTCTACCACCCGCCTGTTGGGAACCAGAAGCTAAGGCTCTCATTCCTACTGGCTCATTGTATTGCGAATGGCGAAAAGAGGTTGACGGTCCTACTTAGTGTTTGCGCATTTCCTTTGCCGGAGCTTGCTGGCGGTGTGCTTATTCACCATTCCCGCTGCAAAAGCATTGCTGGTCTTTGCAGGTCTGGGGAGTCCTCTCTCCATTGATCACTGGCATCTGCCGACCGCTCTCGGCGCTGCTTGGACTAGCCGAGTTACCCACCTACGTCATGGACATATGTCCTTCGCCATGCGTTGCTTTCTCTTTGTTTGTACTTTGCTCGAAGGTGCGTACTGCTTGCAAAAGCGCATGGCGCTATGTAGCGCAGGAGTAGAAACCTCCTGTAGAGAGGTACGCTGAAGGAAGGCTTCTTTTGCTGTGATCCTCAGCTCTATTCATGGTATTTGGCCTGCTGTGGCTTCTGGCCTACTCTGGACT